ATAAATGCCAGATTCAAACAATAAAAACAGTATAAAAATACAATGATACAGCATAATACAGTTATTGAAATTAGTAAAAATAAAAATCGGTGCTCCAATACTCATTCCGAACCATAAAACCAAGATGGTGTTCTGAAGATGTTAGAACAGAACAACAACAGTATATGTCCCCACAACCCTGTCATCCGCCAGGGACGTCTCACACCCCCAATGATACCCGCACCAGCGGTGGTAGAGTGCGGTGATGGAATAAGCGTTGGTGGAATAATGGTGGCGGCGGCTCCTACTCGAAAGCCTGGCAGAAGAGCTCCGTTTTGCAGGCCCTGCGGAACTGCACAAGGTCCCACAGGGCCTGGATCTCTTCTGGAAGCTTATTCCACCAGGTAGGAGCCACCACCGAGAACGCCCTGGTCCCCGGATTGGGCCCCAGGGGGAACTCCTCCCCGACGTGCGCATCACCAGGTTTTCCCTTGTATGGTCGTGGCCCCGCCCCCAGCGTGCCTGGCGTCATAACATCACTTCCTGGTGAGCCACCCGGGAGTTCCCCGCGGAAGAGGTAAGTGACACTTGGCAACCCTATGTAGTGGTTAAGTGCGCGGACTCTAATCTGGGAGAACCGGGTTTGATTCCCCACTCCTCCACTTGCACCTGCTGATGTGACCTTGGGTCAGTCACAAGCTCTGGCACAGCTGTCCTTGAAAAAGAGCAGTTTGTGTCAGAGCTCTCTCAGCCCCACAAACCTCACAGGGTGTCTGTTGTAGGGAGGGGAAGGGAAAGGAGTTTGTAAGCCACTCTGAGACTCCAAGTGAAGGGCGGGCTATAAATCCCATCTCTTCTTCTTCTTCTTCTTCTTTAAGGTGCTACTGGACTCTATTCTAACTGTTTTGTAGTATATATATGTAGTTTTAATATTTTTAGCAGTCACCACTATCATTATGCTATTTATTCAAGGATTTCCTAAAGCTAACAAACAGCTCTTGAGTGTGCAGCATGACCATGAACTTGCAGCACTGGCAATTTTCCTCTTTAAAATGGCATGTCAGGATTAATGACTCCTTTTCATTACAGCCTCTGGCCTACAAAGGAAGTTAAGCTATCCGTCCTGTTTGCCAATCTATGGCCTTTGGAGGAACATTTTTCATGGCTCATTTGTCATAGAGGCACAACTTAAATATTAACTATGTGATTTACCTCACAGGATGGGGGGAAATGTTTTATGGGCCTCCGTCAGTGCTCCGAAATAACATTAGCAGCCATAATGGTACTGTATCTTTTACCAGAAGTTTGTTTTTGATTGTCAGTTCTTGAGACGTATGTGAGGAAAACAGATGCCCTTAAAACACAGCAATTATATTTAAGAATTACCCTGGTGCCCAACTGCTACTAGTGTAGTATCTCTCTGGTAACATATGCAGAAGTCGAATGTGCAGACTCCCCCAGCAGTGTATTTAAACCTCCCTTACGACAATTCAGCGTTCCTTTCCTCATCCTTCGACAATCTCCTCCGCAACTGTTATTATTGACAGTTTGATTTGATTGATTGACTGATTTTTGTCCCATCCTGTCTCCAAGGAGCTTGAGACTGAATATATAGTTTGCCTCCCTATTTGAACCTCAGAACCCTTACAGGTAGATTGTCCTAAGGACCAGACCGGACATAATACCGGGAGTTCTGTGAATGGAATTCGTAGCTTTATAAAAAGCAGAGGAGTGTTGTTGCTGTTTTGTTTGTTTGTGGGGGCTCTTCAGATTTGAACCAGGCATGAAGGATGGTTTTTATTTAATGTTCATTTCCCCCCCATTGGTCAAAGAGATCCACAGGGCCATTTCAAGTCAGGAAAACAGTTCGCCAGGAAGGAGGAAAGTCTTAAACTCTCCTTTCTTCATGGCATGCAGTACTTAAACTTTTTTCTCATGTTTTCAGCCATTGATTACTCTTTATTGATATAAACTAGAACCTGCAATATCAGTCAAAACTTGTTTAACAATATGATTTTAAAAACAATATATAATGTTGCTATTGAGATCAGGGTCCTGTGGGGTCTTATGCAATCCCGCAGGGCCTGCGAGACGGAGCTGTTCCGCCAGGCCTTTGGCTGAGGCAGCAGGCATCCACATATGGCCCCCCCCCCCCGGTTGCGATCTCCCACCTACTGATAACCGGCCATACCCAGTTACATCAATGGGCCGGATTCTCCCTATGGCAAGCATTATATGTTTTAATGTGTTTTAAATGTTATTGTATTTATTAAAATGTCGCAACCCGCCCTGAGCGTGTTTAGGGGATGGGCGGGATATAAATGTGAAAAATAAATAAATAAATAAAATTAAAATGAGGGCGAACGGAACAGAGGAAGCTGTATCGTTGCCTTCGTGACCTGGCCTCCTTCAGTTTCAGCCCTTTCTTTTCAATATCCAGCAGTACTTCCTCCACCATCACTAGCATCTCCTCCTTAACCTTAACCCACCTTTAAAAAAACTTATATCCAGCTTTTTCCCCCATGTGGACCCAGAGTGGCAGGGCTCTTTTTGTAGCAGCTACTCATTTGCATATTAAGTGACACATAAGCGACAAACCCCTAATATTGCCAATTATCCAAGAGCTTACAGTATCTCCTATAAGAGGAGCTCTGTAAGCTCTTGGAGGATTGGCTACATTAGGGGTGTGTGGCCTAATATGCAAAGGAGTTCCTGCTACAAAAAGAGACCTGTTTACAACATTGTTCTCCCTCCTCCAATAACAAATCTGGTGAAGTAGGGATTTGTAGCTGGGCCTCTCAGAGCACAACTACGTTTGCCTCATACCCGGGTTGGTGGTCCTTAAAGTCCTTTACATATTATATCCTAACAAAAGAGGATGACATGAGGGGTGACATGATTGAGGTTTATAAGATTCTGCATGGGAAAGGGCAGGTAGAGAAAGAGGTACTTTTCTCCCTTTCTCACAATACAAGAACTCGTGGGCACTCCATGAAATTGCTGAGCAGTCGGGTTAGAACAGATAAAAGGGGGACAGGGTAAAAGCCGGAACGGCCCGGAACGGCCCGGAACGGGCATTAAACACACAATAGTACCACAAAAAACAGTAGCATCCATTACAGGCCCTCAAGAACAATATTCTAGAAGTGGAAAACCAGAACTCTCACTCTTTTATTAACCCTTTCTGGGCCAAAATGCCTCCGGAACACCCCGGAACGGCCCCAAACGGCCCGGAACGGGCATTAAACACACAATAGTACCACCAAAAACAGTGGCATGCATTGCAGGCACTCCAGAAGAGTATTCTAGGCCTGGTATTTCTGGCCACTGTGTTATACAGAGTGTTGGACTGGATGGGCCTTAGGCCTGATCCAACATTGGTGTCTCTTATGTTCTTATGTTCTAAAATGGTGATGTCAATCAAGGGCATTATTAGAGGGAGTAAGAATATGAGATGTGAGTTAGAAAGCATGTGTGGTGTAGTGGTTGGAATATCAGAATCTGAGGGCAAAAGAGAAGCTTCCATTTTAGTATCTAATAGGGGATTTTTAAAAACGGTGAGGATCCAATATCCACTTGTTCCCTCAGAGTCTGATATTCCTTCGAACCATCTTATGGGCCTTGCCTTGGAGTCATAGGCCGAATCTGCATTGGTATCTTCCACTGCTTTGGCAACGCTCCCGCTCCATCTCAAAAAAAAAAAGATGTCTACATCTCTTTCGGATTCGCTCTCCTACTGCACCGTTATAATTTCTGCTGTCTGCATTATTTTACTGTCCTATGGTTTCGACTTCGTTGCAGTTGCGACGTCTCACCGGCTCAGCTGGATCTGGTTACAAAGCACTCTAAGCCCCACCCAAAAAAGCGCTATCTAGTGATGAAGACTTGAATTGACCAGATTGGAAGAATTTCTTGTACCACTTTGGAACAAGCATCACTTCGGCATAAAGAAAGACAGCGTCGCGACCAGTGTTACCTCTATGCTGAGTTAGTGTGAGCTAGCTCACAGTTTTTTTAGCCTCCGGCGCACACATTTTTGTCTTAGCTCAGGAAGGAGGGCTTCAGAACAAACTAATTTATGCAGTAGCTGAATCATTGGCTCACAACTTTAATGCCAGTAGCTCACAAAGTAGAGATCTTGCTCACAAGACTCCACAGCTTAGAGGGAACATCTGCTTTAAAAATGAAGATGCAGACATGACCATAGTGATGGTAGAAAATAAAGTGCTGCAGTAACCATACCCACAAGGTGGATTGTACAATGGGCCTAGTAACAGGTTTACCATTACTGGAATAAGTGACTGGAATCCCAAGTTCATGAGCCAGCAGAAGTTACTTCTCTTCTTATTCAAAAGCAGAGATGCTTTTTATGGAAGCATCTGAGAACGACAAAATCATTCTGAACTGTGAAGCATCGGTTCTACTTGCAGAGGTTTAAAAACAAAAACCCAAATACAGAGGCTACGCTGTTGAAACATCTTTAATTATTCGAAGCAAAGAAGCTGATTCAAAAAGTGCCAGCTCATTAAAATCCTTCTCTTTACACTTACGGGAGAAAACTCTTTTCTCCTACTTTTTTTTTTTTTTTTTTACACAAATAAATAACGCGAGCACAACGGGAAACAGTCCAAGGGGACACGGATGAAGAAGAAAAATAAGGCAACGTGCTGAATGATTTGTGGAAATGATAAGCGTGTGTAGTGATTCTGTGTCCCTTTTCCATTTAACCTGCTGTTCTGCCAGTTACATTCCCGTCCTTCACTCCCTCGTCAACTGCCTCCTGCGACGTTTCGCACTGGTCTGTTCTGATGAGGCTGCCTCGTTGCATTCCGTGTTTTGACATTTACAGCTTTCCACATGGAGGTAGAGGTGTGTCAGGCTGCTTCCGTCGGGGCATGTCAGTGTGACTGCCTTCTTGGTTGTCTTTTCTTCCCTGCAGCACCTGCACTTGTGTTGCATTGAGTTCGCTTCAGCAGAGTACCTGTTTGCATTGAGGGAAGAAAAAACAGGGAGAAATTACAGGGAATCATAGTGACTGAGCAACCAAGTAGAATTTAGGACGCACTTATTAGAAAACCCTCTGTCCGTGTGAGGATCTTGTTTCTTCAGCTAGAAGCCCAGATTTTCATCTCCTCATATCATATACGATCAAGTGTGGTACACTTTAAATAAAGCACTTTCAATGTGTGTTTAATTTTTAAAAGAAGGGCATAAAAACTGGGCTTTTAAAAGGTACTATGACATCTGATTGATTTTTACAATGGAAAAAATCAGCTTTGGCGCTGGTGGTGCATAATTGCTAGGAGCTACACATCAGAAAGTCTCTGGTTTGCTCTGACCCGGATAGCCCAGGCAAGCCCGATCTCGTCAGATCTCGGAAGCTAAGCAGGGTCAACTCTGGCAAGTACTTGGATGGGAGACCTCCGTGGAATACCAGAGTCGGAAGGCAGGGGCAGGCTTTATTCAGTCACCGCTCTATATATCTTCCAGGCCCCCAATAGGGGTCAGTCACCAGAGGTCACTCCTTTCATAGTCTTAAGCAAGGTTCAGCTTCTCAGCCTTAGTACGCCTTATCTTGGCTGCGGCTACACGGGCCGGAAAATGCGCCAGGGGGGGAGCATGGCTGTTTGCCCCGGGGCAAAATATCGTGTGGTTACTTGATCAGACCTCCCGTGGAGGTCCTGTGGGTAGGGGGAGGTGCTGATCACAGGACAATCCTGCCGCGCAGTAAAGAAGCGGCGCGGCAAACGGTTTTTTTTTGTGTGTGTACACCAAAAATGTGCATGCTCCGTTGGGTGCTTGTGCGCATCCACG